CTGTGCCAATCATCGTCACAGTTTGGTAAATCGGCAGGGGGTCTGCGAGTTTCATGCGAGGTCATTGTGATCTAAAGTACTTTTATTTTGTTTAATGTATGTTTACTAAAAGCGAATGTGTCTTACTAGGCAATATATATACACCCTCAGAAATATGCACTTTCGGTGACACGGATATCTGAACATATTACTGAGTATACAGCTTTATAATATTACTGTATTAGGACAAAAATGTACGCTTTTAAAAGATGAAAAGACCAGTTTGCTTACGAGTGAGTTTACCACTACCATGAAGTTTTTCTATTTTCGACATTTTTTGAAAAAAAAACGAAAACAACTGATTTTGACAAGTTTTTTCAAATATATTAGGAATATTTCATAACTAAATGCATTCCATATGCAAACCAATAATAATTTTCATAATTACCGATTGCCGAAACATAATTTGTTATATTTTCGATATTTTCACATTTAATTTGTCTTGAATTATGATTGAAAGCAGATGAATGAAATTCCAAAATATGTAGTGTGTTCACAACTCATTGTATTTTCCCCCATAAAAACGAAATAATTTCACAATTATTTTGGTCAACTCAAAAGTTAACCTTTCTTACACACCATAAACTTCACATTCGGAACGAAGTTTGATATGATTACTTTAAGTTACGATTTGTCTACGATGGTCCTGTTCAAACATTTCCTTTAACAGAAAGGAGGATTTAGAAGCGCGGTTGTCAGATATTATATCGTCACAACTTTTGAACATTTGTCCTTAAACTAACCACTATTGGATGAAATTTCTCCGCAAACAAAAACAATTTAAAAAAAAAACAGTTAAACTTTAGAACACCCTGCTCGTCACTGTCAGTTAGTAAAACAACCTGCAAATGATATGTTCATTTAGGGTGGATAACAGATAACATGTCCGCCAGTCAGCCATTTTAGATCCGATCAGCAAAACAAAGTGACGTGTATCCCGATTCCAGAAATTCTTGATTTCCGTGCATTTACTGCGGGTGCAGCATAACTGAATACCTCTAATTAGCCATTCAGTCAGTTGTTTTGCTTGTTTGCAACATTGCCATCCCATCGTCGCTCGCACTGAAACGTTCCACTTGCAAATGGGATGGGAGATAATATTGTAAACAAAGCAAAATGACTAATAAATGAGTATGAAATGTGTATATTTTCTGTATTTAACAATTGTTCTCGTGTTTTGTGAAAATGTATACTGTTTAAATATAGCAAACGTTCTTACACAACACTTCAGAACAGAGTCTGACATTCCCTCAAATATACATAACATATAAATGGTGGAGGCAATTTACAACTTCTTCACAACTCAGAGTGGTCACTTTCCCAATACAAGTAAAGCAATACTGAATGGTACAGTCTTTACCGTTTTATCAAACTCTAGGCCACAGCAATTACACATGGCAAAACAAATGTTGCGACATCAAGTGATAAATTGAAGCAACACTGTGAAACGGAAAGCGAAAGTTTCATTTTTACTCAGCTTCTTTTTTACTTTTCAGGTTAATAGTACACAGGCGTATAAGGTGGTTTGAGTACTAAAGTTACATTGATGTTGCTGATTCGGTAAATATACCTGCCCAATCACGCCTCCTTCATCAACAGAATGTATACACTGAATATCTAATCGATAATCTATAATCGATAATCTACCTAACGTTATTTTCAGTTTGTTGTTCGATGGGGAGTTGGTTTATCTTTTGAACTGAATAATTCAAGTAGTTCTTTAGTATATTATATTTAACAGGATGTCTTTTCAAAGACGGACTTTTCGGTCGCTGCTGTTTCGTCTTTCTGAGAAGATTGTGCATATGTCATACGTACATTTGACTAAACACATTTTTGTATTACTTCGCACAATTTCAAAATTAGGATTACGATTAATCTCACATCAAAAACGGCAAGGGTTGTTTCAATTGCAAATCTGGCCCAACCCTCTCACGTAATAGTTTTGCTAAAAACACTCAAGAAATACATTATTTAAACTCACTTGAAAAATACTCAAAACATCCATGGCCTTCAGTGACCGAAACGTCGATCATTTCAAACATAGTTCCCGTCAAGGGCTTGTCACTTTTTTGCGATTATTGACGACTTCTACATTATCAGCACTTACTGCTGTACATCGAAACCAGTTATACGTAAGTGACATACAATCGCAATAAGGTAGCTTTGGTGCTCCAGACATGAAGACCGATAGCTTGCAAACTATTCCCATCCAGAAATAGATGAATCATTTTATCACGTGTTTCTACATTACCATGCCTGGGCATATTTCACCGATCTCAATCCTGAGCTGGTTACAAGTGAAAAACACACATGTAAATTTCATAAAAGTATGTCATAATATAGCATTCGAACATAGGAGGAGTATATTTACTCCTTCTAAACAAATTACGTCTTCTGTCGTTTTTTGTTGTAATTCAGCATCAGTGGTCGGGAGAAAGATGCAATGGCTCACCAGCTGTGGTATCTATGCGTGCACAGTCCCTTGTTGAATGACTGTAGCGTGTGTTATGTAAGTGTTTTTGGGTGACTGTTTTGCAATCACACGTAAACTAAACATTCAGCGAAGTGGCTTGCGATGTTACAAACTAGCGAGGCATGTCAGAGATACATAAATTATGGTATTATACGGGAATGTTATTATTTATAAAATTAATTATTCTTTTCATTCCCCGGTAATACGATTTGTAATGTGTTGAAGTTATGGTCACTTGTACAATATGTCTTGACATGTATACAAGTTCCAAAATAAAAAAATATATAATCTCATATTATCATGTTAATGGGAAAATACATGTACAATTTTGTAGGAAATATGAAAACGTGTTATTATACCATCTAAATAACACAGTTTGGAGAATATTATATTACCTATTAGTTCAATGACATTTCGAACTATGTCACTATGAGTGATTTGTACTGAACCAAAAATAATGATCGGGCAAATTAAACGTTAACAACCCTCCTACAATAATATAAGTGCTTATTAGCCTTTCATATATACATGTATATTTATTTATTTTTATTTATTTATATATATATATATATATATATATATATATA